TAATTTTTTCTCTCTCTTCATCTCAACTATCCATTCATCAAATAAAATAATAATACACACAAATCAAAAACTTTTCAACCACACATCTCCCATCAATCACTATTCTAAAAATTATCTACCCCCAAAAATTTAAATTAATGGGGGGCAAACAGGGACTTAATACATTTTTCTCACACCTTTTTAAATGCATATTCTTCAATAAAACAATATTACACATAAATAAATAAATAAAAAATTCATCCTTTTCAGTCACTCAATTTAAAAAAAAAAAAAAAAAAGCTATTTCAAAAATTATAATTTTAAATAATAGAGGCCGATCGGGGTAAGTAAGAATTTTTTTCATTTTTTTTTTGGGTTCAAAAAGAAGAGAAGAATTTCAGGAACCTAATTATATTCCACTTGGAGTTCAATCTTAAAATATCAACCTTCTTGAAAGGAGTGGTTCAAGCTCTTATAAGTTAATTTATATTTTTATCTTTATTCGACATGAGGTTTTATTTTTTAACATGATTTCGCAAGATGGTGACCCTTTTGAACATACAAATATTGAAATTCGTGTGCTTGTTTTTTAGCCTTTATCAGTCAAATGCCACGTGTAACTTAATGGACTCTAGTACCATATTAAAATTTAAGTCCCGTTTGGTGCACATTTTTGAAAAAAGAATGCATTTTTATTATTGATGTGATGAAAAATATGTGGTTTAAAAAGAAGGAAAAGTTATTGATGTGATGAAAATTATTATTTCATTGAAGAATGTGTGATTGATAATGAGTAGAAGAATGAGAATAAAAAAATTAATGTGGGTCAAACAGAGCTTTAGAGTTTCATATTAAAATATCAATTTTTTTTTAAGAGGAGTAGTTTAAACTTTTATAAATTTGTGTATATTTTTTTCTTTATTCGATGTGAGATTTTACATTTTAATATCCATAAATACAAAAATTTTGGAATGCGTAGGCGTGTAGCGTGAGGGTTAGCATGCAACGGTTGAATTTTCACAACGTTTACGTCAACGACTAACTCTCACGTCATTTAAAAAAGCGTTTCACAACACACGACTTCAGTCGAAAAATCTGGACAATCAACTCGGAGGCACTATTATATAACAATAAAAACTAGGAAGGAACAATTCTACCATCAAACATTTTTTTTTAATCCAAGACAAAATTCAATAAAGTCATGAGTACGAAAAATTTAACAGAATGTGTACCAATGTTGATGCGGCAAAATGTGATTGGACTGTTTTTTTTCTTTTTCTTTTTCCATCTTTCAATAATGTCGTGTCATGTGTTGTCTGTTAAGATTTTCTGTCAAAATATTCTGTACTTTTATCATAATACGACAAAATTATAGTTAAAATCTTGAACGTGGGTTTTGTTCCGCTTTTTGATAATTAAGGCGGTGCAGTTAATTAAGTTTAATTAATTGCTGCATCAAACATTTTAATTGCACTTTAATTAATCCTTTAGTTAGGAACATTGAGTCACACATATTTAAATTGGATTTCATATTAAACCTGTATTAAGACAATCGAAATAGACAAATCGAAATGAAATTAAGGACAAATGCAGGAGTATTTGGGAACAGTTAATTATTAACATAAACGACTTGAATTATTATATAAAAGTTAAGGGGCTGTTCTCTTTGTATTTTAGTTTTGTGTTTTGAATTTTGAATTCATTTTGCGTTTTGTGTTTTTAGTGTCCATTTTTAGATAGTTCAAAATGTGTTTTTTTTAGCACTTGAAAAATTGTTTGGAAAACACTCAAAATGCGATTTGTTGATTATAACTGAACACACCCAAAACGACAAATTGGATTTTCTTTGTAAATTTTTAACTTGTTTTCAAAAACGCTTTATCAATAATAGGAAAGAGAAAGTGTTTTCACTGTTTTAAAAAATCGAAAAAGAAAACGACTTGAAAATGATAAAAAGAACGGACCCTAATATTTTAGGTAGCCAGCTAGGTACCTAATTAATTTTATCAATAATCTGCTTTCCCAATATTATTCCAGTAATCAAGAAAGGAGATAAACTTTACGATACATAGGCTTTATATTATAATGTATGTATAATGCGTTATCTATTATGATTATTTAAACTTATTTTAAGAATAAATGGCTTTTAAATTATTTATAATAAGTAATTATTATATCATCGCTGCAAAGTTATAGAATAATTGCAATAGCTTCGAGTCAAAAAGTTAATATCTTGGGTTGCCTTAGGTGATTGGCACTAGAAAAAGATCTATGAGGATGTCAAGGAAAAGGTATGGAAAAAGCTTCAATTATTGTGGAGGAAATTAAAGAATTCACCTTTATTGACCATGAAATGTATAATAAAGTTTCAAAAAAAAAAAAAGTCCCCAAGGCTGCCTCGTCAAAGGTTCGAATCTTGAAATATGGATTTGACTCTTGGGTAAGTGCAAGTGTACAATCAGTCTTCCACCCTATACCTTGGAGGTATAACCTACGATTTACCTCCTTCACCAAAGCCCATGGGAGGGCAGATGGGGGCAGCTAAGGATGCGATTCATCATTTTTATTTTTTTTTAAAGTATCAAAAAAGCTACTTGTACAAAAAAAAATTTGATAAAAAAGTTCACACACTCTCATATGATGTTGGCCCCCACATGTATAAAAAGTTGGAAAAAAAAAATGTGGCGCCCCCCTGGTATGAGGGGTCGATCAGGGTGTTTGTCACCCTGATCCGGTACACCAAGGGCTTCTCATAAAGTATAGGTTAATCATGCAACTATATCACTTATTTATATATATATAAGTAGAAACATTTACATAGTTTGACCATAAAATAGACTTCCTCAAATAAGTAACTTGTTGAATGTTTAGTTTTGTCAACAAAAAGAAGATTATTAAAAATTATTAATATATAAATTAATTTTGTTATGAGTAAATTATTAAGTGGTGAGCCAAAAAGAGACGTAAAATAAATTCAATTTCTTTGGATCCTCGGAATTTCAAGTCGATTTTCCCCACTTTGTATGGAACTTCGATAGTGAATGTGCATGTGTATCAGTGCATGTGCTGGTTTGAAAATTTTCAATTGTTTGGATTGACTCGTTGTCAAAGTTCTTTCAGTAGTGATCGATTACTTAATTATTATTGTTGTTGTTATCATCGTCGTCGAAAGACCACCTTAATAAATTTACCTTAAATTGCCACGTTAGTCTTTTGTACAACATAAAAATCAAACTATGAACTCAAAAAGGAATTAAAGGAAACACTCAAGTCCTCCCCAGCGTGAGGTTTCTCTCTCTTCCTCCAGTGGAGTTGTCCGTCCTTCCACCGGTGAAGGTTGTTTTTCTTGGTTTTCGCGTGGGTTCGTCGAGGGGGGGTGGGAGCTTCGGCTCCCCCTCCTTTTTCCCCTTCTTTTCCCTTTCTTCCCCTTCTTTATTTTTTCTCCTTTTTTTTTTCGGTCTGTTCGTGGTGTTGCTCGGAGTTTCGCCTTTTTGCTGTTGTGCTTGGTGCATGCTGGCGGTGTTCGGGCGGGGTCAGTGGTGTGGCTGGCTGAGCTTTTGGTGGTGGTGCTTGTGTGGGCTCTGGTTTGGGGAGTTTCGGGGAGTGGCCGGTTCTGGGGTGGCCTCGGTCGAGCGTGTTCTCTTCCGGTGGGAGCTGACGGGAGGGCTGCTGCAGATGGAGCTTAGCCGGCGGCCCTTTTTGGGCTAGTTCTCCAGTTCGGGCGGCGATTGGTGATGGTGGTGTATTGGTGTCTGATGTGTGTTGGTTGGTGGTGTGTTGGATGTTTTGATTGGTTTCGTTGTGGTTTTTGGGCTGTTGTTGTTTGATTTGTGTGTTCTGTTTGACTGTGGTGAAGTCTAGACAATGCCCATTAATTTTGTTATGAGTAAATTATTAAGTGGTGAGCCAAAAATAGACGTAAAATAAATTCAATTTCTTTGGATCCTCGGAATTTCAAGTCGATTTTCCCCACTTTGTATGGAACTTCGATAGCGAATGTGCATGTGTATCATCAGTGCATGTGCTGGTTTGAAAATTTTCACTTGTTTGGAATGACTCGTTGTCAAAGTTCTTTCAGTAGTGAACGATTACTTAATTATTATTGTTATTGTTGTCATCGTCATCGAAAGACGACCTTAATAAATTTACCTTAAATTGCCACGTTAGTCTTTTGTACAACACAAAAAAATAAAACTATGAACTCAAAAGGAATTAAAGGAAACTTTTCTAACCCGATGGCGTCCAAGGGTGATATAATTGCATTCTTTCTTCCAAGTTAGATGCATATAAAAATGGGTTGATAGTCTTGATCATCTTTCACAACTTTTATTTTATATTTACACTTTAAAGATTTACCTGCATTTACGAAAATACATTGATATTTTATTATTTTTTTACTTTTATTAAAAAAATATTTAAATAGGCTTGGGGCATTGATTTATGATTTTCGTTTAAATTTTTGTAGAGAAAAGTTCGGAATAATAGAGAAAAAAAATCATTTATTTAAGTGAAACAAAAAAATGGGCATTACCATTACACTGGATTCATTTCAATTAATTTTATTAAGGGAATTTTTTTTGTTAGTAACAACTCAAAATTATTTTAATAAATTTAATTTATAAACATCAGATTTGTAGCTAAATAAAGTAATAAAACAATAATAATGAATATTACTGATAAAAGAAACACAATTGAACATAAATTAATATTAAAAGTGGAGTTCCTCATAGTTTGCATATTTTTTTGAAAAAATTGCCTTAAAAGAATTTAATTTATCAATAGAATTTTTTTCCCTAAATAAGATAATAATTTTTTTAAAAAAAAGTAATAAATTTTAAAAATCCTATAATAATTAAATATAAAAGTATATTATTTTACAAATTGAATTTATTTAATAAAAATTAAAAATTAATTAAAATTTATGTCGAGAATAAAATTATAAAGAAATAATAATATATCCGTCTATAATATTACTAAAAATAATATTCTTTATAAATATTTCAACCCATCTTCGGTAACTTATAATAAAAATAAAAAATAAAAAACACGTAGGATAAGATGTTTCGAGTGGGAAAATCACTGACAAAACTGTAAATCTCATTTAAGAGGAACTAGAAGCAAAGCTTTAACAATGTCAAGACCACAAGTCCTGTGATCGAAGAATACACACAGTGCACAACTGATGCAACAATTTCACATTATTTCCAACAATTTCATCTGATACATTTGAAGAAAGCTGAAATAACAAAAACACAGCATGTCATAAACATTAGCTGAATTGAAAACCAGCAAACTTTTTACTCGAAAGTCATATTCTCAGCCTCTCGCCTCACGGATTCAAAAAGCACAGAGGAGAGATACCGCTCTCCAAAACTTGGGAAAATCACCTGCATTCAAGTTCAAATATATTTCAGTTGATGTACGTGTCCTTATACGCCACTGCATTCAGTTCTATTCTAGATCTACTAGAAGATCGTGAGCAATTAGATCATTGGCTTAATATCTTGACATCCTAATTTCTGTGTATATTCCCTTTGAAACCGTCAACAACAACAAGGATGGTAATAAAAATAATAACAGGTAGCAACAAGATAGCATCTGTATTCACTACAAGAAACATACAGACTATAGCATCCTCTATGACAGATTTGAGGCCATAAACGTTGGTGAAAATAGAAGGTATTCCGAACTAATTTTACTAAGCATTGTCCCTGACAAATTCCTTATAATCTACTTTTCTGTGAGTTCTAATTAGTAGTTTAGCATCAAATCACGTGCAGGTTTGAGCCTCATGACCTAAGTGATCACTGATCAAAGGTTATGGAAGAATTAGCCCTTATTGGGTAGCCCATTGGAACAATTAACCAAAAAAAATAAAAAGATTCACCAAATGTACGAGTCTCTACATCGTCTTAAAACCCCCACTGAAAAAAACTGCTCAATATATTCTAATTCGTTGACCGAGCAATTAACATGCTTACAAGTTACAAGATCACCATATGGGGTTGTAAGTACTATATTCTATCTTACGTAATTGTATTAAATAATATTCTTTTGGAAAGTACCAATATTGAGAAGTAAATCACCACCTAAAGTGAAACTCTGGACATTACAGATTTAGGCATTGATACTCTTAATGCTAACACAACTGTTAAACAAGCATGGTATTGTGTGAATCCCCATTCCAGTAACCTCCATCCCGCACAAGTAAAAATAAATAACAAAGGTAGGAGTTTCCATCCAGAGCCCCTTACTCTATGCAGAACAAATGCTATGTGCATTTTGTGTGCGTGCGTGCGTGCGTGTGTGAGAGAGAAGCATAATTCAAAGCCAAAAAATGTTAACTAACCAAAAACCACCAGGGCAAGGCTGAAATTGCTTTTTATTATCATCCTTTAATTTAAGTTCACAATAACAAAAAATGATAAATATTGGCACATGCCTCACCACCTTAGATTTTAAAAGCAAACCATATTTCAACAAACAAATCTTGTTAATGGCTTATTGCACAAAGTTTTTTAGTTTGTGCATTAGAACATGGAGAACTCTCAGCTGTTCTGTCTCATTTCTCGAGGGCATATCTTTGTGCGCATTGAAACTGACGGCATCCTTTTTATTAATTAAGATCCAGACCATAGAGCACAATTATTTTTTCTTGCAAAAACTATGTTGCCAGCTTCAATCAACAGAGAGATAAAAAGGCAGAATTTGATCTTAGGCTTCAAGATGCAGCAAATATACTTCATTAGCTAGGCCAAACTCTGGTCATATTTTGGCAAATAAGAATTAAAACTAAAAGGGATCAAGGCCACAGCGTCGTTTCTTATTGCTACTGTGGCATTAAGAAAGTAAGTCTGGAAAACATTTAGTGATAAGTAATACCATGATTATAAAGTGAGCAAAAGGGTCTTAAAATCTCTTCCCCAATCACCAGATGACAAAATCTATGAAACTCACAAGCAACTACTGTGGCCATTTGAAGATGCTTTACAACTATAAGATTATATCAGGTTGTCCCATACACATAAGGATTTTGAAAAGGTACAAGGACTTACAACAATGAGTTTTCCAGCATTCTCTGGTCGCTTCGCAATCCTAATTGCAGCAGCTGCTGCAGCACCAGATGATATTCCGACCTATCACATTGAATTTTATAACTTTCTGTTACCGGAAGTGTACATGAACAACGTAAATTCAAGAGAAGTACAAATGTCAAAATCATTATAAACAGACAAAATGATTTACTTACTAGCAATCCTTCTTTCAATGCTAGAAGCTTTGCAGTTTCTATGGCTTCATCGCTTGAAATCTACAATTCATAAGACCCCCATAAAAATACATGTATTAGTGTAATAATATGGATAGTTTGCTACTTGTCTAGCCAAAATCCCCGCAATTGAATAAAATAACAGAACTTGGCACTGTATTCATTGAGATTATTCCATCTAATATAGGAGAAGAAAGTGTAGATAGCTCAGAATCTTACTTGAATTACTTCATCAATAAGATCAACCTCCAAAACACCAGGAATAAAACCAGCACCAATTCCTTGAATCTTATGAGGACCTTCAGCATTACACAAAAATCCTTCGTCGGATCAACTAACTTACGAATTTTTAATAAAAATGGATAACAAATAAAAAGTAACACAAAATTTGACATGACAGTCAGTGATTACATTCATATCATGTCCCTTGTATCCATTTTTCTCTGTTCACAAAAATTGGATCAAACTTGACAATAATAAGATTCTGAAAGAAAACAAAATAAAGGAAATAAACAAAAACCTATCCTAAAACTCAACTTTCTATAGGCTTACCCTACTAGCAAAATGAAGTAATAAATAAAAATCAGGACAATTTGGCAAAATATAGTAAACTACAAAAGTTTTAAAAACGACAGACAACTCATAAAGTAGATAAAATCTCTCTGAATTTTAAATTGTTTTCAATATTTTCAAGAAAGATGTGCTATTAACTAACATCTTTTGTTTCATATCGCATAATTAGTGCAACAATCCAAGAAACACTTGCAGCACCAAAAAAAGTCCGGTTTATTCAACTTTATATTCGATTCCTCATGTATCTTGAGAAAGAAGATTTCCACACAAAAATATGACCAAATATTTGTAGAACAGTGCTGATCAGCCATTAGAAAATGAAGATGAGAATGCCAGTTCACAACAATTATCTGAAAGTAGGCTATAGGTGGGGTGGGAGGGGGATTTGTATTTGGATTTTTTTTTAAATTCTTTATTTTTATCTAGAAACGTGCAACTGTGGTAAATAATGTGTCCATTACCTTACAAGTGTATCAGAAAAGGACAGACTAAAAGCAGATCAGACTAATTGGACCGGATTGGATGTGATCCATATCCAAGTTAACATGCAGAATGTTCTCTTGAGTAATTTGCCAACTTAAGCAACAAGATGGACTAGGCTTCTTGCTATACTACTTTACTATATAAAACCATTAGAAAACAGTATTATGAAACAGTAAGAACAACTTCTTTAAAACTATGCAGGATTAAATTTGATTAATCATCAAAAAAAAATTTGAATCTATAAATCATTGCCAAAAAAATTTGCTGCCCATCAAAACTTAAAAGAGAAAAACAAACCATGTACTTTGAGGTACTAGATCACAGAAAGAACTCACCAGGTTTTCCACCAGAAAGAACAGGACTTTCAACTGGTTCTACACCAAACAGCTGAAAAAACAAAATTGGGAAGAGAAGGTAAAAGAATTGCAAAGAACCTTTTTTTTGAAATATAAAGATCACTACTCCGGCATAAAAGATTAAAATAGTAAACTAAACAAGATTTAAAACTTTACCACCATTCTAATTCCCAATCAGATAGAGCACTAAAGAGCTGTTCAATTTAAAAGGTGAAGATAACCTTTATATCAGAGTTCTGCTCTTTAAGGAACTTTCCCGCACCAGTGATTGTCCCTCCAGTACCAATCCCAGAAACAAAAGCATCAATTTTTCCATTCGACCCTTTCCAGATCTCTGGTCCAGTGGTTTCATAATGTATCTACATACATGTGCACATCATGTTACGCATACTACTTTCCTTTTGAATTTTCATCAATCAAAATAATGAAAGTAAAGTTTGAAACCTTCGGGTTGGCAGGATTTTCAAACTGCTGAAGAATGTATGAGTTAGGTGTCTTGTCTCGTATCTCTTCAGCTTTCTGAACAGCAGCTTTCATTCCCTTTGCAGGGTCAGTGAGCACCAATTCAGCACCAAAACCAAGGAGAATAATTCTTCTCTCGAGACTCATACTAGAAGGCATCGTAATGATAAGCCTGTATCCCTTTGCTGCTGCCATGAATGCCAAGCCTATGCCCGTGTTACCACTTGTAGGTTCAATAAGGACACTCTAAAACAAGAAAAAGTACACAATCAGATTTAATTATTAATTCAAACAAATATGTTATAAACATAATTGTCCAGCTATCACAAAGAAGAAACTGAACTTTAAGACAAGGCCCAAAATTCAGTTACAGTCACAGCAGGGATAAAAGTATGCATTACAGCAGCCGAAGATGTATAAAACTAACCTCCCCAGGTTTGATAAGGCCTTTTGCCTCAGCATCTGAAATCATGCTATAACCAATCCTGCAGAATAAATTGTGCATCATTAAAGAGTATGCTATTTGGGGAACAAGAACATAACTCCAAGTCATAAATCCAATTATATCAAAGATCAACCACAAAATTATGCATATACCTATCCTTAACACTAGAGCATGGCTCCATAGATTCCAGCTTGGCCGCAACACGCGCAACACAACCATCAACAATATTATTCAGGTAAACCAATGGGGTTTTACCAATCAACTGCAGAGCAAAAGTCTCAAATTAAAACAACCAACGAAAAAGCTAGAGATAGAGAGATTTCTACTTATCCATTAAAACTAGACTTATGGAGGCATACTTCAGTCACATCCTTAGCAATTCCAGCATTTTCTTCTGCCATATCTTCAAATTAATTCTGTGAACAGATAACTGAAAGTTTAAGAGACCTGCTTATTTGTTCAACATCATCAACCAATAAACAATAATATATACATCATATACGGGAGAGTACAAATTTAAAAAAAAAAAAAAAAATCCACGAAAAATGACAATGAAACTAGTCATCATTGCTGCTTTTCTAGCCTGCCCTTTATCAAATTCAATATAAAAATTCTGCTAAAAAAAAATAATTATGTTTTTTCAACTTTCAGTCTTTTCATCAAAAATATGAATCCACCAACCATAAAAGAAAACAAATGCAAATGCTTTATGAACCCACAACAATTTGTCGTCAAGTCACCAAATTCAGATAATGATATTATCTTAAAATTTCATTATCTTATCTATTCAAATACAAAACAATCATATCGTTAGATATTCAAAGCAGTAACATATAGAAATTAAATTCCGTTCTAAAGAATTAATAGAAAGAAAAGATGGGATTAGATAACCTTTTCTGTGCTCTGTGTTGTGTGCTGACAAACACAAGAAATGACCTCGTAAGAGCCGAATTGTTAATGAATTTATATCGAAACGATGATCAATTACTCATTTAATTATTAAAAAATTATTTCGGTTTATAGAATCAACGATGAATGTTCCCGGAACTGGGCCCAAATACAATTTGGGCCTCATACCCTTCTGTGTCCATTTTGTTTAGTGTCATTTTTGCTGTCGTGATCCAGTATTTGTATTTAGGTGAAGAGTTGTGTGGAAGCGGACTGATTTTAGCTGGCACTACATGGTTTTCATCAATTACTTGTTTGAATTGAATTAAGTAGTGTGTACATAATTGTGCCAAGATTTTAACAATCATATTTCTTCGACGTCTAGGTTGACATAAAACTTAACATAATGCTGTCGCTACGTGACATTTTATTATTTAACAACTTAAAATATATTCAAATTTTTCATCCAATCATCTACTACCACGTGTAATTATGTCAATCTTTCGATCAAATCTATCTGACAAAGTAGCTTTATCCAAATTTTAATAGGTTGTAATTCTAGAAGGTTTATTCAACCTATTTGAAAAGTCACAAAATTGTGTCGCTCTTTGAACTTCCTCTGTATTCATGAATGGAGATGACAATGAGACGGAAACATCCCCCTAGGTAGGGGTGTAATCGGTCTGATTTTACAGATTTTTGACAAATTTTTAAATCAAACCGTTTCAACTGATTTGAGAAAAACTCAAATCTAAACCAAACCGTTTTGATCGGTTTGAAAAAAACTCAAACCTAAACCTAA